TCTTGCTCCACCCGCCGCACTCCTGTGTGGACAGCTGCAGCGCCCAGGGCAGGGTCAGCCTCCCGGGTTCAGGGGTACAGCCCTGAACCCCACTATTGCACAGGACTTTAAAAGCAGCACCAAGGGAGACAGGGGGTGGGTGGGGGGCAATGAAGGGACAACATGCCGGGAAAGGACAAGAAAGAAGATGCTTCCGGCAGAAGCACGCCGTGACCCAAACATCCCCAGAACCTCGGCAGCCTGGCTCCCCACCCCCGCCCGCCCCTACCCCAATACTGAAACTGCACAGAAAGCAACAAACTAGTCCTTCCAATGTTACATTTCACCCCAATAGATCTGTAATCTCACAGTGATGAGAGGAGAAAAGTCAGGCCTTTAATAATTATAATAAAAAAATAATAAAAAAAGCTTACAAACAGCAACGCAATGTTTCCTCCCCCTTAAAGCGATGGTTAAAAGCTGGTAGAGGATGCGACGACTCGGAATTAAAAATCAAAACGAAAGCAAAACCACAAAGCCAACCCTGGAACCGCTCCGACCGTCGGCGACGACTTTTCCATACCAACCGCAACAAGCAGTCCCCGCCAGCCGCTGGGGAGAAAGAACTCTGCCGACGACGGACAGACGGACAGACGGATAATGGCGGCCTTGGCTCACGACAGGGTCTCTCTGTTTTACACGTGAAATACAACGGGACACCAAGTTGTACATCAGTGCCAACGTCGACACTCCGTTCGACCACAGAGGGAACGGCAGGCGCTGTCTGGCCTCTTCCCTGGACACGGACTTTGGGCCCATGGTGCCCAGTCCTGCGGGGTCTCAGCAGGCAAGGGGGAGCTGGCCCGCCGGGCTCCTTGCAGGCTGGCCAGGAGAAGGCAGGGGCCAGGCCCGGAGCCCGCCCCGCCCTGTGGCGCCGCGGCACTGGCTCTGGTCTGCGCCGGCGCTCTGGGTTCTCAAGTGCTGTCCTCTCGTGCTCTGTACAATCCCTTGCTTCTCAAGGCGAAGTCCCCAGACTTCTCGACTCAGGTGTGGAGTCGGGTCCTGGTGGCGGCCGTCACGCTGTGGTGATGGCGTTCAGGTCCTTCATTAGTCCTTCCAGGTGGGCCATCTCTTTGGTCAGCTCATCTGGTTCATAGCTCTGTGGAAGAGGGCGCCCTGTCACTGCACCACACCAGGGGCCACCCGGGAGGGCGTGGTCAAAGCGTCAAGGGGACCCAGGCTGCACCCACGGCCACTAAAACCCCGAGGGAGCAATGAGCCGTTTCTTTTCACGGCACCATGCTTTTTCCCCCAGTGTCAAAGCAGCCGGCGACCTCAGCCCTGGCCCCTCACCACAGTCCGGATACCTGCGTCCCTGGGACCCCGACGCCCCTCTCTGGGCCCTGTGCCTGCAAACAGGCAGACGTGTTGGCAGGCGCCCGCGAATGCTTCTGAATCAGGAGCATCCCCACTCCAGCAACTTCCCCGCCAGATGAGGTCATGAAGTGGGGCTGAGGCTGAAAGGGCCCAGCGGAGGCTCAGAGCAGACCGGACCCAGAGCGGCAGGCGCTGGGCACTGGTCGCGCTGGGGTGGAAAGCGAGCCCCAGAGAGAGAACAGGCCACGCCCACAGAGGAGGTGCTCCACCAGCACAGGCTAGGGGCAGCACGCAGGGCACCGCGGGGGACTCACACTCTCGGAGTCTTCCAGCATCCTCGTGGTCTCCTGCACGTCAGGCGCACTGGGGACCACCACGGGCATAGGAGGCCGGCTCCGGCCCAGAGTCCCGAGGGAGGCCGTCTTCACCGCGTGCAGGTGATGGTTCAGAGCTGCGGGGGAGAGGCGCGTCAGGGGGGTGGGGGGGGCGTCGACCCCCCGTCCGAGAAACGTGCACAGACGCGGCATGAGAATCCCAGTGCCTTGCTTCGGGGTTTTAAAGAACCCTTCCTGAAGGTCTACTGTGAGGTCCGGGCTCCTTCCTGCTGCTCTGGGCTAGCTCCCACCCTCTGCACTGACGGTACAAAAGCCGCAGCGGGTCAAAGTGCTGGCGCCAGAATGAGCCAAGGCGGCACCAGGGGGCACTATCGAGTCACCTGCGGACATGCACTTTCAGGAAAGGGCAGTTTCATTTAAGATGATGCCCCACGAGGTAGTAAAACCGATCTCCGGTCTCACTCTCCGCCCTGGAGGGCGCACCTTAGATGGAGGGCAGAATGCACGGGGCTCCCGGGAATACAATGGCTGCCACGGAGAGTGGCACCCGCCTGGCCCGCCTTGGGCAGTGCTGTCGATCACATGGAGGTACACCATGGCTACCCCGCATAAGGACTGACAGACGCCTCCGGCTCCCCAGGCTTCAGCATCTGGCAGACATTTTCTAGAGGGTGCGTGAAGCAGGTATGCCACTTCAGAGGGAAACAACAGGCAGGATTTATGGCCACGGATGGTGGTTTCTGAGAGGAAACTCAACTTTCGAAACCCCTGTACTGTCACCATGAACTCAAGAGCTCGACTTCTTCAGTGACGCTCACAAACGTATTTTCAAGATGCAGTCTAATGAGACGTGCCAATATTTGGAGGATCTGTATGACTGACCTAACCAGTGTTTCCCACCTGACTCATAGGTGCTGTTATAAAATCCTGTGTCCCCAGTGCAGGAGAATAATGGAATGGAGCAGGAAAAGGTTAGCGGTAGCGTTTCAGCGTCCACAGTGCAATCAACCTCTGAAGAGTAACTGCCACCTGGTGAGTTTTGCTGGGGTCTCAGAAAAGACTTGCCACAGCGGCTACACCTCTCTCTAAGCTCCCGTTTGGAAAAATAGGGCACAGGAAAACCTTGTAAGATGGAAACCCATCTTAGAGTAGGTGTTAGGACACGGCTCCTTCCCACCGAGCAGAGTCACAGTGGGCAGACCACCCTCTCCAGGGCAAAGCATGCGAGGCCCGGAAACCACAGTGTTCTGCCCAGTTCCGGCTCTCACCGGTCTCACTGCTACTCCATTAATGTGAATGTGTAACCTTTTTAACATGTGTAATATTTTTAAATGAATAAAGTGTTCTTTGGAAGTTTGTTTTCATTTCTAATGCAGATATGCTGGTGGAAAGAAGCCGTGTAAAGGATAGCTCTCTTGTGCTGGCAGTTTTTAAGGGTGCAAACAGGCCCCCGGGGAAGCACCACCTCGTCTGTAGTAAGTCACAGGTCACAAGTCGAAGGAGTTAGGGGGTCAGCATGCCTTGGCAGTGAGACTGGCGTGAATTTGGGCAAGTACCACCCTCTGCAGGGCTCCATGTCTCTAGGCCACGGTCTCCCCATCCTCCGGGGGCCGACTTTGGGTCTCCCTTGCCCTTTCTAGCAGTCTCGTGAGTGAGGGGACCCCGGATCCCAGGAGGCTGGGCAAACTCAGTCTCTTCTTGCCCACAGCCATGTTGGTTTGTGGGCACAGTACACAGTTCAGGAGGCTGATGTAATCCCACAGTTGGGGCATGCTCACACAGCTGCTCTGAACTGAGGGGCCAGGCAAGCCCAGAGGGTGCCCACTGGGCTATTTTTCAGAGGACGCTTCTGCCCGGTGCCTGAGCTAAAGGGTCTCTCTACGGGTGGCAGTGCTGGCCTTACCTTGCTGGGACAGCAAAGGTGTGCTTGGTGAGGCAGGGTCATAAGTGGGAGGCCCCGGGGGTGGGATTGCTGGCACCGCGAAGCTCTTCAGTGGGTGGGAAGGGCGGACGTGGGCAGTAGGGAGACCCTGGCCTGAGTCTTCCTCTTGCGAGCCGGCCAAGTAAGAAGAGTTGGTAGCACCTTCAGGATCCTGATGCTCGGCACAGCATGTCTGAGACGAGGAGGCTGGCATGGTGTCAGTGCTGGGTGTATTGCGGACGGATTCTACAGCAGAAAGGCGAAGCATTAGTGTTTCTTTGACCATAAAGCACATGCAAAGCCCAGGGTTCTTGCTACTTCTGTAAAGCAGTCCCCTCTGCCAGCTATATCAGAGACCAGTGGGAGGCCGGGCCCACACGAACATTGAGCATGGCTGCCAGGCAGGGTTATGAACACCCCAATCTGAGGGCCACACACAACCTCCTCAGCCACTGTGTTCACCTCCACCACCATATGGTCCTAACCTCCCACGCTTGGTTCTCAGTATCTACCGGGGAGCCCAGGACACGGAGGCCCCTAACCTCCCACTATTCATTCAGAGGCAGTGACACTGCACGAAGATCAACATCCCCCTTCACCAGACCTGGCTGGAATCCTGACAAGTGCCAGCCATGTCCTGTGGCCTGGAGGCTACTGCAGGAAGGGCCGGGCCACAGGCCCTGTGCACCAAGACGTGGACCCCCGCAGAGTCCAGGCATCTGCAAACAGCTCTAAGCTCCTGCCATGAGCAGGCCCAGAGAAAGGAATGAGGGCAGAGCAGCCTGGAGCAGGGGAGACTCGGTCAGAACGGGGAGGTCTCAGCACATACTGAGCGAGCAGTGGGCGGGGGTTCACCGGCTTTGGAAGCCAACAGCCCTGGACCCTAATCCTGGCATGCTCGCCAGTGAATTTAGCAGTCGCGGAATGTCTCCGAGTCTTAGTTTCTTCACCTGGAAAACAGGGAGAACAGCGCGTGACTCACTGGACTACGAGCCAGAAGGCGAATGGAAAGTGCTGAGCCCACTCATAGGCCACTGATGATGGTTCCTCTCTCTGTCAACTGCCAGAAGGCGTCCGCTAAGTCAGGCACTAGGCTTAGCGTTGCGGGCAATCCTCCTGATGCAGACGGTCAGTTACAACCGCTGGGGCAGGGGTATCAGGTGCCCAAAGACCAGGTGATACTGCTCCTTTCGGCCCAACACTCACCCCCAGTCCTACCCCTGGGGGGAAGGGGCATGGAAGCAGCACCAAGGCCTTGGAGACCACCATAGGAAGGCCTTTCCGACAGCCTGCACGATGCAGACCCCAGCCCAGCCCTAAGGGTGAGGAGAAGCAGGCAGTGGCTCAGGGCTGTACTCGGTGACCGCAAGTCCTCCTCTGACTCCCAGTCTTCAGCCTTAGAAAGATGCACTCTGTAGTCATGCCTAACTAAGCTGGTGCAGAGATACAATGTACGTTCCTGCTGTACCTCTGAGGGGCGCTTCTACCAAGACTTTATCAGCAGAGCTGCTTGTGTAGATGATGGGCCTGCCCACCTGGAGCGCTGCCTCCTCTGGGTCCCAGGGATGAGTCACTTACAGCACATCCTTCTCAGATTCAGAGAGCCAGCCCAGACCCTGGGATAACCCTACTGGACTCGAGTTACCTCAAGAGGGGTGACCGAGGATAGCACTTCTTAGGCTCGCTTGAGGCACAGTTGGGAAATTGCTGGCCCCAGATCTGTGATGGTCTTGGGCTAGGTGGAAGTGGGTTAGGGAGGGTACGTAGGGGATGAAGGGAGAAAAGTGGTCTCAAGTCCTGTCACACGAGGAAGCCCACTTTGGCTTCCTTACCTGCCTTGAAACTGTTATATTCAAACTCGGAGGACCAAAGTGGGGCTCAATTCAAAACTCACGGCCATCAAGGCAATGCTGATCCTACAGCACAGGGTAGAACTGCCCCTGTGGGATTCTGAGACTGTAACTCTTTACGGGAGCAGAAAGCTTTGTTTTTCTCCTGAGGAGCAGCTGGTGGTTTTGAACTGCTGGCCTTGGGGATCAAAGTCCAATGGGTAACGACTATGTCACCAGGGCTCTTAAAGAGGGCTGGGAAGCATTAAAAAAAGAAAAAAGAAAAAACAAAACAGGCTGACTATGTGAATAAAGTCCTGCCCAGGGCAGCTTGTGCAACAAGTGGCCAGCGGTCAGACCGGACTGTGTTCTCTGTGCAGGATGCTCCCTGGAGTCTGACGTCTGTCAGCGGCCTGGGAGGGAAACCGTGATACTGAATTTCCTGGGTCTGTGAAGAGTCTACTTCCTGACCTACTTGCCTCCCAGTTATTTAAGCTGCACAAAGGCCGCACTGTCAAGTGCGTGCAGAGGAAAGTGCTCTCCCTGGGCACGCCGTGAATGCCCACGAGGGTGCTCTCCAGGCTCTAGACCTGCTCAGTCCTCAGTCCGAGCACACGGGGCCTGCGGCAATGCTCTTGGCCCTGGGCCACCAAGGCTGCGGAAAATCCAGGCGTACCAGCCTTGGATCGTCTCTAGATGCTTGCTCTACGTTTCAGAGAAAATCTCCCTCCAATCTCTCACTTTAGTTTTGCTTCCTTTCATCCTCTGGTCAGAACACACGGGCTCTTGAGCAACGTGACTCGATAACGGTAACGGGGCAGCAGCTCTCTTTTCTCACTTCACTTTCTGCCTTGGCCCATCCACAAAGGGCCGCAGCCACACCTGGCTGAGGAAGGCTGGGCAGGAGCTCCACGCCCCGCCCTCCTCCTAGTCTCCTCTGACAGAAGCCCGCCATCCTCCAGAGCAGTGGTTCTCAACCTTCCTAACGCTGCAACCCTTTAAAACAGTTACTCATGTGGTGGTGACCCCCACCCCCAACCATAAGATTATTTTTGTTGCTACTTAATAACTATAATTTTGCTACCATTATGAATTGTAATGCAAATATTTGATATGCAGGATGTATTTTCATTGCTACAAATTCAACATAATTCAAGCATAGCGATTAATCACAAAAACAATATGTAACTATATATTGTGAAATATTTATTTCTAATGACAAATAAATGAAATTTTGTCTTGAAGCATGGTGCAGCATGGATAACAGTCTTCACGCCGGGTACTCGTAGGTGGGCATATCTGCATGTGGGCGGACCTATCTGGAGACAGATATAGGAGCACTGTCTCGGTTCTTAAGACCACCAGAAAGATGGTCTTAGGTGACCCTGTGAAAGGGTCGAAACCCACAGGTTGAGAACCACTGCCCTAAAGGCAGGCCCACATCCAAGTGGGTGGGATTCTTCTGCTTTAAAATTGTAGGACCAGAGTCTGGGCATAAAGCCTGCTTTCTGAGACCAGGTGTGGGGAGCTGCCCCCAGCTCCTCTGTTCTTTTGCGACAGTCTGCAGATAGCTGCCTGCCATCTGTCAGTCCTGAGGGTGGTCTTGCCTTAAATGCGGGGTCCTCAACTCCGATCTGGAGGAAGGTTGTGGGAAGGCCAATTTCTAGCCACAATGGCTTACAGAGAGTTACCACACAGCCCTTAGAAACTCTCATCATCATCTGGGGTATACTAATTAGCCAAAACTTAAGCGGGGAGGGGATTGTACATTCACTGGCAACCCAAACTTCTAGCAAAGAGCACAGGGATCGCTTTCTACAGCAACTCACTTGCAACTCCCTCCCTTCCCAGCACCGCTGCAAGCGGTCCAGCAGTAGCACCAAACTAACCACTGGCAGCTTTCAGAAGCACAGAGTGCGTGCCCATCTGCGAAGTTCCCAGCGTTATGCACTGGAACTGAGAGGAGGAGGGGCAGTCCTCCTTACTCACTCACTGCTCCTCCCGCTACCACTTGCTCCCCTGGAAGAAAGCACTGAGGGGGCCACTTCTCCAGTTTGCCACAAAGCGAGCTGCTTGTTCGGCAACATGGGCTGCTACGCTCAACTCCTACATTTGCTTCCGGATGACCTGTGGCCGTGGGTCCCTTCCTGATGGCAACACTCTCCACTAGACACCCGGAGGCTTGCGATGTGCACAGACTGAATGTGGTGGCTGGGTTAGACGCCGCCCCCTCCCAGCAGCCTCACTGCCCCTCAGAGGGTGTGCTTAGTTCCCTCCCAACAGAAGTCATTTCACCCTACTGACCTTCCTCCTAAGGAGCTCTGGTGACGCAGTGGGTTGCACGTTGAGCTGCTAACCACAAGGTCAGTGGTTCAAAGCCACCAGCCAGCGTGCAGGAAAAAAAGATGGGGGTTTCTACTCCGGGAAAGAGTTACTGTCTCCGAAACCCACAGAGGCAGTTCTACTCTGTCCTATGAGTTGGCGTCCACGCAATGTTTTTTTTTTTTTTTTACAGTCCTCCCACATGATGGTGCGACTGCGAGGTTAATGAAATGTCTGGTATCTGAAAACCACCCAGGATGCCTCTTCCTCTCAGAGGAGGGTAAACACCAAGTACTGGGTGAGGGAAGGCTGGGTTACGGTAGGTTTCCAGCACAGAAGGCAATGTGAGTCTAGTGTTTCTCCCTCAAGGAACCCCAGGTGGTGAGCACCTGACCTTACGCAGGAAGACAGAGCAGACTTTACAGAAGCAGGTCTGAGTCAGTAACAAGACAGTCGTGACTAGGCAGCAACGTGGAGAGCAAATGCCAGGTCCCTCTCCTAGCAGGGCGAGCCCGTCCCGTCTCAGCGTTCCGCCTGGGCTTTGCCCCTCATCTCTCACCTGTGGAATTGGCCCTGTCTGAAAGGGACAAGGCTGTGCCAACGGGCCAGGGGCTGCCCGGGTGGTAGAGATGGCTGCGAGCTGGAGAAGCGAGGCTGCTGGAGTGGAAATGATGGTGAGGGTTATCGAGGGAATGGATGGGATGGGCACTAACCACAGCTGTGAATGAACACAAGACAGAGAAATGCTTAACATGCGGTACAGACACACACATACACATACCTCAGTTTAACAGCATTGCCACCCTCCCACCTCCCCAGCCGGCCAAGCCCTGCCTTGGCCTTTTGGTGGACGCTAGCTCCATTTGGACCATTAGCTGTGAAGTTTACAATTAAACAGCAACAAAAAATCAGCAGCTCCATCTACAAGGTGTACATCTGCATATGTCTATTTATTTTTCTCATCTATGGTGGGTGGATGTTTAAAAAAAAAATCTGAGAAATAGACATAAAATGTTAACAGCAATGATCTTGTGGGGAAGGGTGGTCAGGATTAAAAACTGTTTTTTCTTTTTGGCTGATCTGCATTTATCAATCCTGCTATAATCAACATGGATCACATGAGCTGTTAGAAATAGCTATTTGAAAAAGTCCCCAGATATTAATCTGTAAGCAAGCAGACGATGGCCTACGTTTCCATTGCTGTAGTTTGACATGAGCAACACACGCATCGTGCAGAATGGCTTTCTGTGATCCCACCACTTCCATGCGCTGTACTCGTACATGTGGGGCTTGTTTGTGGGGATAAAATCTGGCATCTATTTTTTCCCTTGTTAAAAGGACTGACGTTCCTTCTTTTTGGAGCATGTATCAATTCCCCTGCTTTTTCTTAATTGCCAAATAGGTGTCTTGGCTGAGTCAACTGAGTGGGCATTTAAACTATTTTTCATAACGTAACACGATACAAATGGAGCTCCACGCCACTCGTGTGCTGAGAGCATGGAGCATGGGCCTGTGGCTCCATCTCGGACTGCTCCCAGCTCCCCACCAGACTCCCACTGTGCACACAAGTCCCCTCACAGCTTGGCCAGGAAGATCAAGTTCCCCTTTAATCGGGCTTCAGTATCTCCTGGAAATGAAAAACAAAACCAAACCCAGAAAGCCACCTTTGGGGGACAAACATCCCAGGCACTCACTCCCTTGGGAGGAGTTGCAGACACAGAATATTTAAGACACAGATGGCCAGCTCTAACCAGACCCCACCCCCACCCCGGAGGTTGTGCTGTCTAGGAAGACACAGGCAATTGTTTTCCCCTTCTTAAAGTGAGGGCTTCAGAAATCCCATTGAACTCTATTATCCCCGGGAGCCTATTAAAATGTTCACTGTCACTCATTTCTCCCTAGACCTCAATGTTCCTCTCGGCAAGAGGAAACCTGGCCAATGAATGGGAGCCTTTCCTCTCCAGTCATCTCGGGCCCTGGCCAGGTGTGAGCAAGCAGGAGACACAGCCAACCTGGCCCAGGTGCTGGAGCACCCCGCCCCAAGTCCTGAGAAACCAAAGGGGCACTTCCTGTGCTGAGCTCCTAAGTCAGGAGGTTCAGGTGTCCCCTGGGCAAAGCACAGAACCAAGGGTTACTGGACGGAACCTCCTCTAAACCCCAGCAAGCCTCCGCACTGCCTAGCCCCTGAAGGCGAGGGTGGGCAGACGGTGGGTGAGCCGGTGCCCCCAGGACCCAGAGCTCTGGGAGCCCAGCTTGTAGCCACCGTGGAAAGGGGTATCTCAGAAGCACAGCAGCTGGAGTCCCCCATTTCAGATTCTTGAACTAAGAAAGTCCACTCCCACTCAATTTGGGGGGCACAAATTAAATAACATTGTAAATTAATCTAAAAGGAACACATCTAGGTATAGAGCTAGTCAAATTTTACAAATTGTAAAAGAAAGCTGTTTGGATAAGGAACTAAAATCTTTTTTACAAAAAAAGTCAGGCTACCACCACGCTTATAAGTCAAAAGCAAAAGGGAAAAATAAGTTTACTTTCTTAGGGGAGTGCGCCTTAACATCTGGGCTGGCCCACCCAGGTGTCACTTTACAAAAAGGGAACCTCGCTTTCTCCCTGCACACGCCCACTGTATGTGCAGGCCCCAAGTACAGGCGACTCGGTGCAGAAACAGCCCGCTGACTGGTTTTCAGAACCTAGTGTGGCACATGCTGGTACTCCGGGTGTGAGTGAGCAGCAGAGTGTGGTACAGATGCCCGCGTGCTTGGGCTACTCCCGAGGCTGACTGGGAGGGGCGCTTTGTGTCGACTGCCACTGCACCTGTGTGCGGGGATCCGCCATGATTTAAATCCCTGGGGTGGAGCACTGACACGTTTTGAAATGAGACGGTGACGAAGGAACCACGAGAACATTCAGAACCTCCTAATTCAAGTTCCACTGAGGTTACTCTAGTGGGGGCTCGCTCTCAGGGTTTGGGTCCAGGCAGTTTCAGGGGGCCGGGGTTGGCTGGCCTCAGTGTTCAATGCTTCACAGGCAAGAAGTTGCTTTGCCAGCCTGCTGGGAGAAGGCAAATGGCTCACTGGGTGGGCAGGGCTTCGTCCTGGTCTAGAGTGGGGCAGGGATGCTCTGCCGGAAGCCCCGTGGAGAAGCCCTTCTTTGTCTCCACTGTCACAGAGATGAGGGAAAGGGACCTGGAAACCGGGGAACCAAGAGCAGCTTCATCCCACTGCCTCTTGGCTTCTGACCATGATGTCTCCTGACTTTGAATCTAAACTTAATGCTGAGTATGTGTCAGCCTACGGAGGGCTTGGGACACCTGGCTGTCCGGAGCCTGAGCTAGAGGGAGGCCTCCCAGGTCTTCCCTATTCCAGGGAGATAGTCTTCTCAACTGACATTCGAATTAGGGATGTCGGTGTCCAGGATAAGACTCATTAGAAAACACGGCATTGCCGGCTGCTTCAAGTCCTCAGAGCTTTCGCCAATCTCCTTTGTGTTAGGGTTAAGTGCATTTGAAGAGACTGATCCTAGTCACCGCCTGCCCACCCCCACCCCACCACCAGCATGACTGGGAGAACTTACGCTGGGGCGGCTGGGAGTCAAAAGGCATCATCATTTTTGGTCTCATGCCTCGCCTTCCAGCCAGTGTAGACATGCTGTCCTCAGATTCATGGCCTAGACAGACATCAGAGATGGACATTACTTATAAGCCTGGGCTCTGGGCCCCACTTCCAGTAGGGGAACCCAGGGCTCACCAGGGAGAAGACGTTTCTGCCGGGGGTGAGAGAGAAGAAATGATGACTGGAACACTATGAGTCCCTGCTGAGACTCAGTGCAGGGGATAAACTGTTGCCCGCAAGCTGCAACAGGGCATCTCTGAGTAAGACCATCAGGCCAAACGCGTTCTGATCTACACAACTATAGCTGGATGCCAACAGAAGGGATGGAAGGGAATACACAGCTGCGGGCGAGGCTGCTTCAAATGCCCAAGTACCAAGTGGGTGAAGCCTGATGGGAGACATACTCCCCCGTGATATGCTAGTGGGTTCTCCATCGCCTGGTGCCCAAATCTCATACCATGCCCATACATCAAACTGAGCTCCATACAGGAACCCCCACATTGAGGCCACCTTAGGAGATGGAATATGATTTAGATGAAGCTAGTCTGCCAACATGGGGGGGGGGGGCAAAGAAAACCCTGCCCTCAATACGACACCTCGGTATGAGTTCCGCCGCTGATGGATGTTACTGTCCATGGAATTGTCCACTGGCGTGATGTCTTGGGAGTTGCGGGGGATGGGAGTATCAGTCATGATGGGGTTTGGGTCTGGGGACTTATCGATGGGCTTCAGCTCCAGTCTCTCATGATGGATCCAGAGGTCTGGGGGCTTGACATCTTTGGAGGTACCTTTGTACTTGTGGGAGCCATTCATGGACTTGCAGGCAGCTCGCTTCCTGCACATAAAATGAAGAGGAGAGAGGTCTCTCTGTCTGCTTTTTTCTGGAATTTACAAGCCTATTTGCCAAAGGGCTTAAGTGATTAAACCCTTCCTGAGAGGCATTTTGAGGAAAGGCAGAAACTTGAAACAAAAACAAAAAAGAGGAAGTTTACTCCTGGCAGTAGTGAAATGTATTTCTCCAACCACACTTTAGCTAGACATATATACACAAGATATATTTTAATATTGCCTTGTAACTGTAGTTTTTTGAGTGTCAACAGAAGAGTAAGATAGTATTTTTAGTAAACAATCTCTAAAGACGTTTCCTCTACAAGCTTCTCATCGATAGAGGTAGGACTAAACTCACTAGGAATAATAGTAAGTGATACAGAGGTAGATTGTATGGCTTGGAAGGCAGGGGGAACAACAGTTTAGGTAGCCCAGACTGGGACCACCAACTGAGCAGTCAAAAAAACGGAGACACTGAGCCAGGCTCCCTCACCTCACCCATTCAGTAAGCATCTTACTAGGGGCCTCGCTTGGGTTAGACCCTGTGCTGGGGGGTGGGCCCTGGGAGCACTTTTGGTAAAGGAGAAAGATACTGCAATGTTATTTTTAAAATCTCTTCCAGAAGTGGTATTACTGCAATATCTTAATTGTGGCCGAGGCAGACAGTGAAATTCTGACAAAGTCACACTTAAGCTCAGGCCTCAAGGGACAGAAAGGGCACTGCGGGTGGCAGAACCAGCTCATACAGCCGAAGGTGACAGCTTAGCATTTCAGAAGGATTGTAAGCAGTGCTGAGGGGTGGCCACCTAGTGAACCAGAGTTGGTGGTGGTCAGGGGCCACGTGAACATCTTCAACTTCCATTTAGGGGTAATAAGAAACCATTACATGGCTTTAGTAGGCAAGTCAAGCGATCCGTTTTGATTTCAGGATTTACCCCAGCTGTGCATTTGCTGGGTGAGGATAGAATAAAAGAGCAGCCAGGACTAGATAATGCAACGGGGGCAGCAGTGATTAATGGTGGCCTGGGACAGGAGGGAGGGAGGGCAAGCCGGAGCGAAAAGCTATTTAGGGGCCCAGAATGGGAGGACTTGGAGAATAAACAGCTGTTGGGCTAGGTGGGAGTGGAAGAGAGACCCAGTAAGGATGAATGGAATCAAGGCTTCTAGTGCAAGTCATTTACTAACACCAAGGAGAATGGCGGACCAGCAGGCTGGTAGGGAAGACAATCGCTTCTGACTCGGACAACACCGAGTCTTCGGTGTCTCTGAGACACTCAAAGGGGAATGCCTACCTAAGAGGCAGTAGGTAAGGTGTGCAAGTCTGAGACTCAGAAACAAAAGGCCGTGGGTGGAGATGGAAATACAGGAGCAGCAGGGGCAGGTGAGCCCACTTAGGGGAAAGTGGCGAGCGTGAAGAGAAGTCCAGCTTCAGGTCCCGAGGAGCGTGACTATGAGAGGTGTGAGTTGTTTGGCTGCAGAAGAAGGAGGTCACTGGCGACCTTGACGCAAATGGTTCTGGAAAAGCAGCAGGGGCAGAATCCCTTTCTGAAAGGACTGGAACCTGAGTGGGCAGTGAAGGGACAGGCGGTGAGGACAGACATGCGTCTTCCAGCAATCAGTGGTGAGGGGAAAGACCGGGGTGTAGAAGCTGGTGATCAAGACCATGCAGCAGCAGGAAGACGGGGCTGCACTCGGCATGGTTTCTTCAGGTAGAAGTGTGAGCACACTTGAATAGTCAAGGCAGCGAGCCAATCAAGGGGCTGGGGGGAGGGAGGACCGCAGGGGCAGGTCTTAGAAGGACAGAAGGCACAGAGCTCCAGAGGCTAAATGAAGGCTGGCTTCAGACAGGAGGGGAACGCGGAGGGAGCGTTGACCAGCAGGGAGGAAGGTTTTAGAGAGGATTGTGGTCCACTGGGCTAAGCGTCCCTCTACGTCATGCAGCAGCAGCCCGGGCCATCTGTTGGGAGTGAGGGAAAAGGTGGGGCAGGTGGAGTGAGAAACAAGGAGGCATTCCTTCTTCAAAGGCTCTGCCAGCTTGGGGGCTTTAGGGTTCTAGAAACAGCTACCATTTCAGTATCAGAGGTGTTTCAGGATCAGAGAAGAAGCAGAGTATGAAGAAACCTCACTTGTTTTTCCAACGGTTGATGGAAACACTTGGAAAGCAAGTGACCAGTGGAGGGGAGAGCCCTGTGATGATGTGATATGGTTTTTTTCAAACAAAGGAGCCCACGTGAGCAGGGCTGGCAGACTCCAGTACAGAACACAGAGACTTCCACCGACTTGTCTTTCTGTCTCTTCACCAGAATGGGTGCCCTTAATCTTCATTTACTTGGACCCCCAAACACTAAGGGGTTTCTCTGTCAGTTTGTTTCTGAGTATTCTTTTAATCAAGATCTCAGGATTTCTGAATTAGACTATAAGCTCAAGTTCAGAGAGGAAGGTGCCAGTGTGGAAGAATTGCACCTCTGAAGCTTTCTGGATTTCTTTAGAGTCAAGAGTAAACGAAGAGGGTGGGAAGAGGCAGGGATCGGCTGGCTCAGAAGGAGGGTGGGAAGAGGCAGGGATCGGCTGGCTCAGAAGGAGGGTGGGAAGAGGCAGGGATCAGCTGGCTCAGAAGAGGAACCTGGTTCTCGTGGGAGAGTGAGGCAGTGAAAGGGGGGAGCGGGCGCAGCTGCTCTATGTGGGCAAAGGACAGCCAGAGAGGTGGAACAAACGCACCACACCACCTACAGAAAGTCACACAGGGCCATTAACTGGTAGTTTGTGACCTCAGGTCAGGGTAGCTCGTTCCCGGGCTGTTCTACACAGACAAACGTAGCATCAGCAAACACATGTAACCTTGTCTTGGGCTGACCAAGTCAGACAAGTAATCGTGGGCACAGAGACAAACTTCTCCATGGGGCAGCTCCCACCTTCTGCTCTTTCAGCACACGCAACTTTTTGTTCTCTCCAGTTTAGGAAGGCAGGATATTATGATCGAAATGTACATGAGGAGGATTCAAAGGGTTAGTGGGAACATGGCATTTTTGAAGGCCCCCGCCCCCCACCGCCTGCCCACGCCCATCATTAAACCGAACTCTCCTTTTATCTGCTACCATTAGTCACAGGCCTCAAAATCCTAGAGCAGGAGGTTCTGGGATAGCAACCCTTTGAGCACTCTGGGAACGTCACACTGTGAGGACAAACCATTCGTTCTGACTTGTGAAAGCCACCCCCCAGCCCTGACGAGGATGACCCTACTTGGTCCAGATTTGTTCAGCGTTTATGCTCCCTGCAAGAGAAAAGGTCTGTATCTTTACAAACCTTCCCACACCTAGATTTGGAACAAGGAAAGTATGGTCCATCCTCCCCGCGGCACCAGGGCTGGAAGCAGCTGCAGGAATGCCCACACCTGCCCACGAATGACTCACTGTATGCAGGTGCAACTTCAAGGGGGTGACCAACAAGGCCGGGCATTTCCACTTTCTCCTTTAGAGCTACTTTCCATACTTAACTTGAGAGGTTAATCTAGAAGGACCACATCTACTTGGAAAACCCTGGCTTCCCACTGGGGTTGGCCAATAGAAGGGGTTGGCAAGACACTGGGGGTGGGCTGGGTAGGAAGGTGTGTTTTTCCCATCCCCTCCCTGCTGGGCTCCAGGTGAGTAGCGATTCCATGGCTCCATCTAGCAGTCAGCGCGGCACCTGTCGGGGCGGGCATCTCTCTGCGACAGGTTCAGATCTCGATGGGCCTACGGGTGACAGTGGCTTATCCCTGGCCCTTCCATGTTTTCTTTCACCCCATCCTGGTAAATGGAGCCCTTTGGTACTCTCTTCCACCCCTGTGAAGGTGCTCCCTCCGTCTACACGCTCCTAAGAGGAACCCGTTTCCGTGTCCTGTGACAAGAGGTAAGGAAGGTCTCCCGCCTCGGGTCTTGCGCGTGCTGTGTTGTGCACAGGGGCTCCTTACTTTTTCTGGTGGGAGGTGGTGCGCCGGGTGCAGAAGATGGCCACCACCACCACCACCACGATGGTGACCACGCCCACCGAGACGATGATGACCAGCAGCATGCTGCCGTCCAGCGGGGACGTGGGGCTCCCGTGAGGGCTGTTGCTGCCTGCGGGGGAAGCACGGGCACAAGTGAGGGTCAGCGGAGTCCATGCGGCACTCAGGTGGCAGGGCCAGTGTGAGCCTTTCTATCGACACCCCCCGCCCCCCATGCCTAGTGACTAAATGCCTCCAGAACAGGCCGCCTGGTCCAGAGCCAAGTGCCTGGAGGTCTGGGACCCTGCCCTCTGTGTTCTCTGAAGGTGTCGTACAAAGGTAGTGTTCAAGGTTCACACAGGGCTGAGGGCTCCAGGCTTTCAAAGGTTCAGATACACTTGGCAAAATAAAAGTCTGCCCCTCCCACCCCACGCCCCGCCGATGTCTAATGTCGCTCCCAAATTGGTCTTGCAAAGAGCAACCAGTAAATCATGGAATTTTCTGACTTTTGGAACCATTTTTTAAAAAAAGATCATGGGAAACAAAGCACACAGCTTCTCCAACCTAAACAACCTGAAAGGATAAGACATTACTTGAAAATAAAGCCTGTCTGCTTCTGTAAGACCAGGCAACCTATGAGAGCTGACACTTGGGTCACGTGCGACGGAACCTGTCAGAGAAGGAAACGCAAATCTTTCCCTCGAATAGTGAGAGAACAGTGGTGAGCCAGCCCGTCAACAGGTGGGGCCTGGAAAACCAAGCCAGCCTCTCACAGGTTCCGTCCAGGGTCTGCAGTGCCCAGAGTCCATCCGCTTACTGCATGTCCAAGGAGATATGTCCCTGTGCACTGCTTTGAGCAACGCTTCCTGAGTAGCTGTGACGTGCCATCACTGTTCTAGCTATGGGAGCATAGGGGGTGGGGCAGAGGATATGAAAATATGAAATTGTGAACAATCATGAGTGCTCTGAGAACAATGAGGGGATATGTTTTAGAGTAACTGGGGGGCTAAACAGGCATCTCTGAGGAGGAGGCGGCCTTTGAGCTGGTGTCTGCATGGTAAGATCCCACCATCCAGAGACCCGGTGGGGGAATATTGCAGACAGAGACAACTGGTGCAAGGGGTGTAGGCAGGACGCAGCTGGTCAGGCGCCAGCACAGAAGGCACAGAGAGATGTATAAATGAGAGAGAAGGCAGCTCGCAGGAGAAGATAAAGGTGAGCCTGGGGAGGTGGACAGAGGCCAGTCTATTTAGGGCCAGAGAGAAATCGAGATCTGCTTCTTTGTACGGTTCTTTATTACTTCCTTGCTGCTTCTAGACTCTGAGATGTACCTTCCTGAGACGTACCTTTCTTGGCTTCTGATGCTGTTTATTGGAGTTGTGTGTGGTCCTATCATTAGAAGTGGGCAGCCCCACCCCCCCACACATGTAGCAAAACTGAGGACACGTGGTGCTGTCCTTGTCTCCCTTACCTTTTAGACAGTCAGAGCTGTACAACAGTGGGACACATTGCCTCCGCAAGCAAGGAGTGTTTGGTCACAATACTTGCGAGGCATGCTATCCTTCAGGATGTTGTGGAAGAAATTCCTACCATGGAGGTATGACTTGGGAATCCAGGTTGTCTTAGAAAAGCTCCTAAGATGATTCTCGTATACAACCTGGCTTGGAAACTTAAGATCTAATCCAAATTTATACACATGGTCGGATCTCTTCTGCAACACTGGATTACCGGCCTTCTGACCTTGACTGTGATTTCACAGTCAACAGGGAAGCAGAGGGCTAAATCTGGGGCTGATTTAGAAGGGCTCAAGAGCTTATTCTATAGAGCTGATTCACAATCATTTTCTATCCTTTATTTTGGAGAGAAAGGTAAGTAGGGCAGAAAACTTAAATTGTCCATGCTGACCTTCAATACAATGGCATTTTTAGATTTGGGAACGACCACGGGGCTAGGGCCAGTACAATGAAACTATGTTGTTCAAGCAGGACTTTACAGAAAGCTCTCATGAATGGCAGTGCTGAGCTGCTGGGTGAGGTACATGGGAGTAGGGCATTACAAATCAGTGAGGGGCAGGGGTGTGGGAGCAAGTATTGGTGGTGGTGGTAATTCTGTCCTGCATTCCATGGAGATCAGTCCTCATTCAACTACCTCTGACCCTTCACATGTGAGGTTTTTGCTTGTTTGTTTTTTTTTAAATATTGTGGTGAACTATGTCGAGAACAAACCATACGTCAATTCAACAGTATCTACACGTTCACCCAGAGTGTCTTCGTGTATGAATTGGGAAGGAGGGTTCTCTGTTCACCTGGCTTCAGTATTAGGAAGACCATGTGTGACGCTCTCCAGTCCCTGGAGAAGGACATCAAACTTGATAAAATAAAGGGTTAGGGAAAAATAAGGCCCTGAATGAGGTGGGTTGACATGGTGGCTGTGACCATGGGCTCAAATGTAACAATTGTGAGGATGATTGAATGTTTTGTTCTGTGATGCGTGGGGTAGCTGACTGATGTCATCTACAACAATATCCGGTTACAGGGACTCAGCAAGCGCTTTATAGAAAACGGCCTACAGCTAGACCTGCTCAACGCAAGTATGTAACAGCCCACCACAAATGAGCTACAAGACACGCCAGGCTTCCAAGCATAATAGCTATCCCTGCCTGCAGGAAGACCAGAGCCATAGGAATGGTTTTACCGCTCAGTGGAGGTTTGGAGTCAGATCCCAGGTCTGGCAGCCGGCTTCCTTTTCCTGCAGACCCTGAGGCTGAAGGAGGAGAAATTACATCAGTAATAATCCGACACAAAGCGGGTGGGGGGTGGGGGCAGTGACAGTCCACTTCACAGCAAATGGATTTATCTGTTTTAGACAACGCCAGTCTTCCCACGAGCAAATAAACAGGAGGAACCATAGTGCATTTGCACCAAACAAGCGAAGATACAGCTTTCTGTGCAATGAGGGATCTGAAAGGCTGAGACCCTGGTTTCACAGCTCTTTCCTGCTAGGGACCGCAACGTCACGCTACTGGCCCAGGAGGCGATTCTGCAAGGACAGCTCAGAGGATTGGTGGCAGCAGTAGGTTCTCTTAGAACGAGATTTTCACTCTTCTAAGAGACCTGGCCAAGTCAGTGTCAGTATTGGTAGACCCCCCCAGCATGGGTCATGTCCATATAAAGTTCCCCTAGACAGGAGCAGAAGGCAAGTGGAGGTTCAAGTTGGGCTCTCCATTCTTGCTGGGACACCTCACCATCCAGAGAGAGAAAAAGCGAAGTCTTGCTCTGAGCTGGTCACCAAGGATAGCTCCTGATCCCCAATGAGGGGACGGCATGAACGCGCCCACGGAGCAGGACATGGGGCAGCTTCTCCAAGGACTCGTGCTTGGTCTTGCGTTTATGTGGGCAAAAGATGTACAAGGAGTCCCTTTCCCATGGAAGCAAAAGTATCCCTCAAACCAAGGCTTGTGGCCAGAGAGGAAGAGCAGTGATTCTCTGGGAGAGAGCGTGAAGGCGGCTCTGGACTGTGACGCAGCAGAGGGCTCAGGCCCTCACTTGAATAAGGGCTCCTGCACAGACCGTGTGACCTTTGGTGAACTACCTAGCTGTTCTTTTGGGGCCTCGGTTTCCTCAGCCATAAGAAAAGGGTAATAGCCATATGGACCCCAGGAAGCCGTTATAAGGATGAATTAGGGATTTCATCCCATAAAGTATTTTGACTACTACCTGACACAGAGCAAGTATTCAATAGCTATTCACGACGATTACTGCAGGGTTAGCAGGAGAACACATCTTCTGGGAAGACTCAGCCTGCCCTTCACAAAGGTGGATGACATGAAGCTTCGGAAACCAACTTATGTCAACAAGAGCTCCTTCAACACATAAAGCTCGACTGGAAATGCACGGAGTTATTAGATGTGTCTCTACAAGACATTAGTACTAATGTCAAAGACATCTATGCAGTATTAGACTTGGAAAGGAAAGGAAAGAAGTTAAAATGTGAAGCTTTCTGTGTGTTGGTCATTTAAGAGAACAAAGCAAATGACTTAAACAACGTCTTCTATTTAGTCAAAGCTACTGTTTCCAGAAGCTGAACACCCCTGAAAGCAAACAACAGAAGCCCTTGGAGACCCAAAAGGCATGTCCTAGAACCCTGAGCACCCAGTCCCTGGCCCCCTTTCCCACTGTCCACACTCACTGCTGCTCTGCCCTTCCGCTTCTCTCACCCTTCCCCACAACTGACACGCCCCACATGTCAAGGTTGCAGCTGGTGTTTTCATGGTGGGAAAGTCTTGGCCGTGGAGATGTCTTAGCACGTATCAGCCTCTTCCTATTTAAGGCAGGCAGGTTGCATTTAAGCCAACCATTTAGAGCATTACACTATGTATATAATTGCAAAAGAACACCCTTTGCCAATAAGTGGGTCGGTTTATAGTCCCGCATTTAAAAAAAAATCAAACTATAAACAAGAAATTCCAAGGATGAACCCCCAGCCCCCCAAATGGGTAAAGAGTTTGTAAGCACCAGAGGGCACAGTGCAGCTCAGCACTGCGTCCTGGTTAATGAGTGAAGTGAAGAGAAACCGCATGCATTTACATCCTGTGGGTACACATACGATTACTTTTCTAGCCTTATGCTCACGTCGCTTACGTCAACGTTTCTAACTCTAGGTAGTGCGCCTTTCACACATACAATGTATAACCTAACACTCACTGAATGCAAACGCCTATTTCCAAAGCCCTGAAGCTTTACATCGCAATTCTGAATCTTCCTTCACATTAACCACGCTCCAAAGACCCTGTATTTTCTAAACAACTTCTAAAGAATTCTAAAGAATTTTCTTAAGAAGGTAACCCATCAAATTCACTTCCGTTGCCCATCCACAGTAAGGCACGCAATGAAATCACCAAGTACAGCTACTTGCTCTCCTGGCAATTACAGTGAGAAGATTGCCAACTTCAAGAATGGTGGCACTGAGGATCATGCTCCCCGAGTTTCTATGTTAAATTGTTTGATCAACTCCTTTACAATGGTCAGATTTCTGTATGGGAAGAAACGGGGGAGAGGGGCTCTGGATTCAGCCTACAGCAACAGACTAAAAACAGCACTACTCAACAAGGAAGGGCGCACATCAAAGATGCTCTTCACTAGGGCAGATCTGTAGCTTCTTGGTGAGGGGAGGAAGATAGGGTCTCCACGGATCTGATGACGTTTCCTTTGGAGTCACCGATGCACCAGAGATGCTATCAGTATGCGCACTTGGTACACGGTGAGGACCAGGGATTGTGTAAGGTCTTATCAGGCCTCCATGCCTACCCCTGCAACAGTGCTTCAGCACCTTAGCACACACGTGATGCCAAACACCTTCAGCTACAGGACTCTTCCTGAACTCGGTTTCTTCCCGTCAGTCTGTTTAGCTCCTAAAGCGATTCTCCAACTTTTCAGATACCCCAAGTGCCAACATGGATCCACTCCAGTTGGGCCACAGTTACGTGCTCTTTTGACCCATGGTCGTGATCTTCGGGTTATGAGAAAGAGAGAGACAGACAAAACTAACAAAAAGCTAATAACAGGTGACAAAAGAGAGGAAAGGAGAGAGAGGCCATCTACTCATTTACCTTGATCATTAGGCATTTTATCAGAGGAGTCCGCTAACAGGCCAAGCACAGGGGAAGAAAAAACAAGAGCAAGGATCACAAGCTTTGAAGGTGGGACAGGCAGAAATCTAAAAGGTAAAAATAAAACCCCCACAGGCTTCCAACAAAGTCAGAGCCGTGTTTCTGGTCCGACTGGTAAGAAAATTCCTACCTGGTGCCATTGCTGTAAAGTCACCTCCCAACTCTATTTTTTTAAGGGCGCTTCCATTTTCCCAGGAACTTTTCGAAGCCCCCTTGTAGTTACCTCAGCACACTTATCTTCAATTTCTTACCTGGGGTTTTCCTAAAGGGGCCCCTTGCCATCTACAATGGTGTACACTCCCACAAAAGCACACACACACATGCAAACAACAGCTTTCTGGAGAAGAGCCTGCACGTATGGAGAGAATCACCCATCACATCAACATTCAGCTGTATGGAAGCAAGAGACTCACACCATCTACACCCCAGCAATCCATCTGACCTGAGTAGGCTGGTGTGAAAAGTCCCCTGCATATGAAAGGGTCAGGCCAGTAGCCTGGGGAGCACTGAGTTGGGAGCCAATGAGGGAGGGATCATACTGAGATAAACCTTCCCAACTGTGGCTCACAAGCTCATCATCAGGACTTTTGATGCTACCTACCCACGACGTCTATAGGCTGAGGCAGCGTGTGTAAGCTGTTCACTAAGGAGACACCGATTGAAACCACTTGTGGGGGACCTTACCTTTCGGAGTTCTGAATTGCACAGCTTCGGACAAGGGCCCCATGCCCTTTGAGTTCCGGGCTTGGATCTTGAAGTAGTACGGCGTGTCGAGTGTTAATTCTTGTATCTGGTGAGTCAGCCTGTTTCCCACAACAGGCTCAATAACCCAGTCGTGCATCTCCGCATTCACATCCGTACTGTAGTAAATGATGTAACCTGTCCGAGGGAGTTTACGGCTTTAACTTTTGCAATCAGTGAGTCGGTACTGATTACAGAAGAGACAAGAAGAGAACCAGCTACTGATTAATGAGCAACAGCAAAAGCCCATCCAGAAAGCTCCCCTGCACACAGTACAGAGAAAACAATTCCTCCAGTGCCAAGCTTCAGCGATCGAAGTGATAAAAGTGGTTTAGGGGTTAAGGCCCTCCGAGGTTAAGAGTTCACCAAATGCTAAGAAACCATACAAGGAAAACATGCGATCCTTTCAACACCTTAGTGTTTGAACAATATGCATTCATATATCATTATGAAAACATGAATTAAAATAAAACTAATATAATGTATATATTGTGAAAATAATATGTGAATAATATCCAGATAATACATTCTAAATAAAATCATGCCACCTTGAAATCCAGCAAGGGGTTTAACACGCTAGGTGAGCTCTCCCAGCTGCCCAAGAGAAAGTCCCCTGGGACACAGATGGACAGCCACTTCTGCTTCAAAGTTCTTCCTGACTTCGGGGTGAGGGAAGCCAGAGAAATGTCACCTGCTACATCCACCAGAGGGCACTCAATCCTCACCGTTGCAGCAACAGCGGCAGCCACAACTCTACTGACCTGACACTTCACTGGGTTTTAAAGACAAAATAGAAAGTAATCCAAGCCAAGTCATACTTGCCTTTTCTTCTTCTTTAATAGAAGAGGCAATCCACAACTTTAAAAAAAAGTGGCAAAGGGGAAGCCTGAGCAGGTCAGTGCTAAGAAAGGCTTTTTAGTCTCCTTAGGCTGCCCGTCCACACAAAAGGACGTTACAGGGCAAACTCCCATTGCTCAACACACCCCTGTCTGCGGCACATGTTCCATGGGGAATGTAACAGCCAACCCCTTATCTTTCTGATGAGGTGCAGGAAGTGTCCCAAGGGAAAGTCCAGGTCCCCTGAAGGACTTAGGTAATTAAAACATCTAGTCCTCCCAACCAGAGCACAGGAAGTTGAGGTGTCGGACTTTGAGGGCTCCAGGGTGAAAAAGCAGGATCACTATTTATTGGGTATTAGGTAGCACCAGGCAGGGGTCGAAGGCTCTGCAGCTGGTTATCCAGTTAGCGGCTGAAAAGAACAGCTTTCCTGGGTGAAAGCGATACATCCATAAAATCCTACAGCAGCCAAAGGCCGCCAAGTGCATCCCGAGTCAGAACAATTAGCTGTCAACTCCTTTTCAAGCCACTTGGTAGAAAGAGCAGGTTCCTGCTCCAATCATAGGGACCGCCTGACTCACACCACCCCATAAAACATCTATGCCAGCCCCAGACCCCAATTTCTCTCAACAAGAAAGCACCGCCGTCCAACAATGCTTCTGCCAGGTACGAAGAGGATTCAGACAACCTCTCGCTCAGGGACACTTCACCTGTAATTTTGCCATTGGCTTCGGAGGGTGGCTGCCAGTTCACAATGATGGTCCTGGGTTTCCCTTCTTTACTCACGACTGTCACATCCTTGGGCGGGGACATAGGAACTGTAAAATGACATATAAAATAATTCTTGTCCATTTTCATTTACCTATTTGTTCAAGCTTCCCATTTATAGAACCCACTTACAGAGGTTACAAATTGGGCTACTAACTGCAAAGTCAGAAGTTTGAACATACCTCCGCTCCACAGGACAAAGAAGAGGCTGTCTGCTCCCATAAAGATTTTAAGTCTTGGGAAACCCAAAGGTTCAGTTCTACTCTGTCCTATAGGGTCACTATGAGTCGGTATTGACTCTATGGTAATGGGTTTGTTTACTGGTATTAAGATTAAAAACAAACAGACAGACAAAGCCTCCTGACCTCAAAGAATTAAAAATGGGCATATAATTTCACTCCCCAAAAAGAGTATGCCCAGGACCTGGAGAAAGTTCCATACTCTAAGGATCCAATACGGACACCTCAGCTGGCAGTGAAGGGTACAGGCTAGCACACAATGAAACTGGCAAGAGGGTATTTGCATTTACCAAGGGCCTACTACACGTCTCGGAGTTTCCAAATAGTACCTCACTAGCTCTTCATGGCAATCTTGACAATCACTTACCACTGCCCTCAAAATGAGAGAAGCTAAGTAATTTGCCCAGGGTAATCACACCCCCACACCGCAAGCTTGAGATTATTTGGTTAGAATCATTTCAAGTTCAAAATAGCTCCATCTCTCATTTACATCTGGCTTGCCAAAATAAATTTGACTTTTAAGTCCCAGTTTACCTCAAAGAATAAATAATTTACAAATTGATGTTTTTCACTTTAGGCTTATGCTAAAAACACATATATCAATTATTGATGTTATCGCTCTTAAATGTGAGGCTACTCATGAAACAGAAAAGCCAATAAAACAAGAGTGACAATGTAGTTCTTGTGTTTCCATGCCATAGCTAAAAACTTTTAAAAGTATTACTAAGGCAATGAGAAAATGAACTACATGTCTAAATGTGCGCCTCTTCCTGAAATACAGGGATTTTCCTAGTGTAAAATGGAAATGCACACATCCTAGGGGAAAACGCATTCTCATTTACTGGCGAACGGGTTGGAATTAAAGCCAAAACACGTTCTTTAGCTTTGGCAGAGGAAGCAAACTCAAGGCTATTTAAGCATCTGTGCACTGTACTTTCTAGATCTCAAAATCCAGCCCATTACTCTGGACAAAGTCCAATGAACTAAACAGAAGGCAAAGAGATGTTATAGTCAAGCTCAGTTTGGGGAGAAATTATAACTTTTTTTTTTTTTTTCATTCCTGAAAGCAGGGGCTTTAGAGAGTCTGGGTAGAACTTCCATGATCTTTTCATTCTCTTTTAATGCAAATGTTTGGGAGCCTTTTCCTATAGGAAAGGGAGACACAGGAGGCCAGGACAGACAGAAACTCCAATAGTTGCATATATCCTCATATGAAGAAATTCTAAAAGGCCTAAAGTGACCTCACATTAAGAAATTTCAGAAGGCTTAAAGTGACCGAGAAGCAAACAGGACCTCAGACTCATATGGCCTACTCGTTCCTTAGTTTGCTTTTGTTTCTTTTGTCCCCTTACAGAACAAAAACAAAACAAAAACCGTTGGCTATGCCAGGGGGAGACACTGACTGTAGAAGGAGCTTCAAGGTAGGTCACCTAGGAAGAGTGCACACGCTCTAGGACGTAAGGCACTGGCAGCCTCTTGGTGAAGGGCTGGCTGCTTCACCGGCAGGATTCCTGAGAGCATCCTCCTACTGCTATTCAGTGCTTTATAATGACCACGTGCTTCCCTGCTGGTTCCTCATTCTACCCACACAAGAAACACTAAATAGTGGGAAAGACAAGGCTTACTACCCTCCTTTTATAGATGGAAGAAACCGCAATTGAGAGATTAAATGAATTGCCCATAATTGGACAGTCAGTAAATTGGCAGAGCTGGGTTTGAACGCCAAGTCTGCTGATCCCTAAAATCTAGTATGTCTTGTGCAATGTGTATCCTTTTGTCTGTCAATGTTTCTGCATAATGATTTTCAAAAACCCTATAATTTATCAGTTGAAGTAGCAAACAACAAACTCCAGTGCTAAGTGTACCCTGGGTTCTAACACCAGTTCACACACTCAATCCCATCTTGGGTAGTAAAGGCAGGTGATGAGGTGGCTCATGACTTGGAAGGTGGCACATTAGCGTTATGTCCATCAGCTTTCCCCGTCTTGCAGCGAGCAGAAAAACTCTTGAGACACATACCCCATTCAAGGGTGGTCCCATGGGCTGTCATACTCCACGTGCTTGACCTTCGACCTTTGGTCACCATCACAGAGAACTCATAGAGTGTATTTGGCTTCAAACCAGTCACCAAGTAATTCAGAGTTGTTGCATTTGCGTTCTGGAAAGATAGGAAGCAAGAGCTTTAGGATGAAGTCATATTGACCTTGAGCCTTTCTCACCCAGAGCCCATGGGCCAGTACCTTGTACTTGGTGTTCGCTGGGATGTTGGTCTTCCATCGGACGGTGTAATACCGGGAATCTGTGATCTTCTGGTGTTTGGGCAGCGAGTTGTCTGCCCATGAGATCCTGATGGTGTCGTGACTCAGAGTGGAAGCCTGAACTCCCACGGGTGGCATCATGGGAGTGGGATCTGGCACTGGAGTGTATGGGGCATTAATAACAAATAAATCAACCTCAGAAGTGTCTGGGCAGAACGTAATTAAAAAGGGAAGTGGCATTTTAACGTAAACGAAAAGAAAAGGAAAATGAAGGGTAATGGATGGAATGATAGGTGAGAAATGGAGAAAGAGAAAGAGAATCTGGAGTTAATAGATAGCCGTCTCTCGTCTGAAAGAATACATCCACTCGTTCTTTCAGGAAAACGTCTGGAGAGGCAGTCCTTAACTCTGTCCTCCCCTGCACTCTACAAGCATGTTAAAATCTGACGGCCCACTGACTGTATTTGGAGTCTCTTGAAATCACTTGACTGTACAAGGATCATGACAAATGGGCATTTCTTTGAAAACCAAGAGTGCTACCTCTGAACGAGAACAGGAGGCGGCTCAGAGCCTGCTTTGCTGTTTCAGTGACTGTGGGTGCATTTTCCGGGTTCTCATGGGCATGGAAGAGCCTTACTTTCCTGAATGCCAGCTGGTGGCCTGGGGGCATGGGACACCCACACTGGGCCAGGTTCTCATCTGCTGATGTCCTGTGTCTAACTCACGGCAGTATAGCTATGCCCCACTTTTGGAAATTTTGTCTTTGTGCCACTTCACTTCTACGGCAGACCTACATTAGGACCTCTTTTTGCTAAGTGTGAGAAATCTGAAGGGGATTTTCACTTTTACAGGGGGAAAAAAAGGCAGGAAGTGAAACTAATATGCAGTGTTTGCTTTGCAGCAAGCCATTCAAGGGGCATTGTGCCCCCTGAGTAGCAAGAGGAGCACTGCCAAAGCGCCTTCCCTGGGGACTACAGCCAACAGCTCAGGATTAGTCCCCACAGCTTTGATCTGTATGTCTGCGAGTGGTAGTTTAGGTTTGATGTGCTATTTGGTATGATTTGGTAGGTTATTTTTTTTTAATCGAGGAAAATGCAAAAGACTTTCTAAGTTAATGACAACTCGTTATTTTGTGCCACTTCGGCTTGTGAAAGGTTTCAGGGAGTGTCCTACATTTGGACAACAGGGAGAACTTGTACACCCTTAGGGCTTAGACTCAAATACAGGAAAGAGAATCAGAGGGCACTTCTCTTCCTCCAAGGAAGGTACACCAACCCCACATGCTGAAGGGGCTGCTGTACTTTTTCACAGAGTCAGAGGACCACCCACAGATGGACCCAGGCTCTGACAGGAACATGGCTATCCCGGCTCCAAATGGTACAGCCCTGGAGGACGTTAGAAAGCAGACCGCAATTTGATGGGAAGTCTGCCCTCACGCGGGCTGTGCCATCCGTAATGGACACATTCTCTCAGCATCACAGCCCAATGAGAGGCCAGGAGGAGCCGGAGGCACGAAGGTCTGTGGGCTCAGGGCAGCATAACAGAGTCCATTTGGATTTTGGGAAGTTTTGATTAGGTCTTCTAAGCATGCAGGCACTGATTTAGTTCAAGTTCAAGTTTTACAATGGGTTTCTCACATAGCTACCAGGACTAACTCTTCTTTAAGCTCAAAATCTGAAGTGGCACCGGCCTTGTCTGAGATTTATTGCCAGGCTAAAGCAATGGTCTCCACTGGTGTAGTTCTGACACAATGAGGGCTAAAAATAACAGAAGAACAGCACATGTTGTAATCACAGGCTTTGCTTGAAGACCGTCAGGGAACATACCAATTAGTTACAGAAAATGCACCTTCAAGTGCAAAAATTACTGTTCTTCAGGAGGATTTGTTTATTTGTATCAATTCTTGGAAAAGGTAGCTAGCTGACACAATGGAAGAAATTTTCCTCACCGACTTCTAGGCAGCAGGAGAATTTTTTTTTAAAGCTCAACAAAGGATAATAATTCCATTTGTTTTCCTGCCTGTGTAGAATACCAAAGCAAATTAACAATAAAAATCATCCATTGCAAGCACACAGAAACAGAAGTACCAAACGTGTAGTAATGGGGTCTTGTTAAGTGAGAGCTTTAAAAAGGTCAGAGGTTACTTTGTAACAAGAAGCGTATGGACAAATGTGCGCTATTATGCAAAGCATCCGGAAACTTAGCAGGGAACCCAGATTCAAAATCTGGGGGGGGGGGGGATGGCTAAATTATAAAAACAATAAATTCTCTGGTTTCCAGGACCTTTAAAACTTTGTGAAACTCTAATTCATTTATTTCAGTAAGCTTTCTCATTCAAAGAGGAATGAGATGTTTTATATTATCTGCAGAAATTTTACCTTGGTATGTATATTCTTTTTATTTTAAAGATATCTTAGCCAACCACAAAGAAAAAGAATATTTGTTTTTTTCTGTAATAAATGTTCCATTGACCAAATGGATAGTACTTCTGACTTAATACTCTTTATGTGAATAAAACTTACAAAGAGCTATATACTTAAAAGTATACTTCACCAACCAACTCGAGATGACTCCGGAGATGAATGTCAGATTTACCAATCATATACATTTATTGCCTCTGCCTATAACTTAGATAATCCATGCAGAGGTAGGGATATCCTTTCATTTAGTGATTCATTTTAATCATAACTCATATGAACAAGAGATGGGAAAACACTAAGAGTAAATCCCTCCAAAAACTGCTTTCTGGATCGCAACACATTGAAAACATGTATTATATATTTATACCGAATTATTCACATGACAAGATTGCTAATATTAAAAAAAAAGGCAACTCAGAAATTAACAGACCATTCCACATTGAAAGCACATTTTTCCTTTGTAAGTTGGCCCCGTGAATGGCCAAATACTTTTCCTTCAACGGACACCTGTGAGGCAGGCCTCAGTGCAGGTGTCTCAGGTCAAAAACTCCCTGACAACCCAGATGCCCTTTAATGCTATTTACATTTGCTCTCACTTTGAAACAAACAACTCAACTCGCTGCCATTGGGTTGATTCTTACTCAGAGCAACCTATAGGGCAGGGTGGGACTGTCCCTCTGGGTTTTTGAGATGGTTAACTCTTCACGGGAGTCAAAGCCTCATCTTTCTTCTGCACTTGGTCACTGAAAAGACATCAAGCCTCTGCTTGCACTGCAGCAAGCACACCTGTTCTGGTGTAACTCACCACAAATCTGACTCAGAGCCACGCCACGCCACGCGGAGGAGCTGCAGTGGAGCGGGGACGGGCCTCGGGGGTTGCCTATATTTAAGCCCTGACAAGACTGGGGAGGAAGACCAGGGCAGGATGCCTTACCTGTGTGAGGCCTGGTCACGGCACTCTCATACAAAGGGATGCCTTCGCCCACGTTGTTGAAGGCTTTCAGGGTAATCACATAGTGAGAACTGGGATCTAAAGGAAAGAAGTGAGTTGACACATTTAAAACATGTCCTCACTATTAATAAAAAATAAATCCAGGCATAACGGTGCATGACTCTCCTGCAGAGGAGGTTTCTGTGAGGTTGTTTTGGGGGTGGGGGAAGGCATGGAGAGAAAAAATGCGGGAGGTCAGCTTCCAGGAGAGAGTCCAGGGACAGGAGGGTCACTCTGCCCCTACTCTGGTTTAAGGCCGATCATGGTCTGAGTTAAGGCATGGATGGATGTTCATCTCTTGAGAACCTGTAGGTGGAGCACAGAACTAAGCAAACCCCTTTGCACCCCTGAAGAACAGCCGTGGATGAGCCGTGCACCCAGCAGCTGTTTAACGTCTCACCGCCATTGAGTCGCTGTCGACTCACAGCAACCCTATAGGAATGGGTCGGACTGCCCCTGTGCATTTCTGGGACTGTGACTCTGTAAGAGGAGGAAACCTCATCTTTCTCTCCATGAGCTGGCCGGTGGTTTGAACTGCTGACTTTGCTGATCGCAGCCTGATGCTTATCCACTACTCCAGCAGGACGCCTGTTTCTCGTCTCCAAACGGCTACCTTCCAATTCAATCTCCCCAAACAGCTGCGATCTGTAAGAAAGGTAAATCCTAGCCCCAAACCTGCTTAAAAACCTTCAGGTCTTTGAATAAAATCCTCCATTCCTAACATGGCCCAAAGGTACTCATGTCCCTGTTACGACCAGGCTCTCTCCATTCTCCGTCTTGTTGTCTGTGCTGCGTCTCCTGGCCCTGGCTCAGCTCCCTGGGCACTACACTCCCTCCCTCCCACCACTGGGCCGTCACATGCACAGCAGATCCCTATGCTGGGGACACATCCTACCCTCCCTAGCTGGACAGCCACACCTGTTCAACTGACAGAGCACAATGCAGACTGGATTGGACCCCACCTGAACAGCTGAAGTCTCTAGTTCTGTACCCCTTTCTCTTCCCCAGCACTCTCAGCAATTTCAATGATTTTACAACGATCTTATAAAATATATAACTGAAACCATCTCTCCATCTCTAGCACCATGTCTAGGATGTTGTAGATTTTCATTAACTATCTGCTGAGAAACTGACTGGTTTGGAGGAGAAGAAACGGACTTTAGTTTTCAACAAGCAGAACACAGGACATATCTGGGTGCAGACATCTAACAAACAGATGATGTTTATATCAGCTGATGCAAAGTTGGCTAAGGTTGGCAGTTAGCTTTAGTTTGATGAACAAGGGAGTTCCTAAACGTGCTTTACATCTGACTAGCTCTTCTTCTGCTCGATTTCATAGGCATCTGAGGAGCCCTGGTGGCGTAGTGGTTATGCCTTGGGCTGCTAACCACAAGGTCAGCAGGTTTGAAACCACCAGCCACTCTGTGGGAGAAAGACGGGGCTTTCTAATCCCATAAGGAGTTACAGCTACACAAAGAGTTGCCCTATAGGTTTGCTATGAGTCAGAATTGACTCGATGGCAGTGAGTTTTGAGTGAGATGTCCATCCAGGTGGATAACGATAAGCTCTAGCTTATTTTATGCCAAACGGGTTGCTTCTGCTCCTCCATCCTCTCTAGTCCCTTCTCTGACCAGGTCCACCCATTTATGAACTGCAGGACCTGTACTGCTCCTTCTCATCTCAGTGTTTCCAAACACTGCTTGGTACCAAGTCTCCAGGCCCAGGTGAAGTCCCTTTCTGACTGCTCTACACTGCCCTTCTCGCCCTCCCTTCTCTGAGCACACACTCCACTTCAGCTCACTTCATTGTTTCTTGTCTCTTGCTTTTGTTCCCCTAACCACTGAAAGCACCTGAGGTCGAGGACTGGGCCCTGCCTGCACTGCAAAGGATTTTCCCTTCAGTAGTTGCAGAAAGGAAACAGCAGGAGGCTGGTCACCACAGAGGTGTCTCTGTCCTACCGGCAAAGCTTTCCTTTGGCTCTCCACAGAGCTTCCTGAGGCCCTGCAGGTGGGGGAGGAATTCCTAGGTTAGCGGTGCTGTTTCTTCTCCGAGGGAAGACGAAAAAGGCTACTTGGTTTTTTGAATAAAGAATTATACTGCTACTGATTTTCTGTCAGAAATAATGGGAAGATAACTTATTTGTTATTTTCTCTTCCACACACAAAAAAACCCAAACAAAAACAACCCTCAAAACCAAACACTGCCATCCGGTCAATTCTGACACATAGTAACCTTTTTAGGAATGATGTGCACAAAGAACTCTTTTAAATAAAAGGTAAAACATGGTCAAGACAGAGTCTGAATTAAAAGAGAAGTCTTTTGAAGAAATGTATAACAATAATCCAATTTGGAAAGTACTTAAACCGACTAAAAGTCAGTCATTCTCTATTGTGAAAGATAGATACTGCTCTTTAAAGAAAATCAACGTTGCGGTATGGTTAATAAACAGTAAAAGGCATCCTTTGAGTAAGTTGAGGGTACCAGGTCAGAGAAAACTAACGAGATGCCAAGCCATGGTGTTTTCAATGGCCTCGTAGGCATGTGAAAGGTGGACACTGACTAAGGAAACCCGAAGAAGAATGGGTGCATTTGAATGAGGGTGCTGGCGGAGACTACTGTAAAGTACTGCGGACGGCCAACAGAACAAACAGATCTGCTTTGGAAGAATGGCCAGAATGCTCCATAGAAGCAATGATGGTGAGACCTCATTTCGCTTTATCAGGAGAGACCAGTCCCTGGGGAAGGGCTGATGGCACTTGGTACAGTAGAGGGGGGTGAGAAGAGGAAAACTCTCGCAGGATGGCCTGTTGCAGCGGCTGCAACAATGGGGTCAAAGAGAACAACGGGAGGATGGCGAAGAACTGGGCGGCGCTTCATTGTGTTCTGTACAGGGTCATGAGGAGCTTGAACTGACCCCACAGCACCTAACGACAACAGCATACTGGATCGGGAGCCAAGCTTCACTTTGGCTATAAAGGGCCTTCGTGAGATAAATGACAAATGTGAACGCGGTCTGTGGTTGACAAAAGCAAAGATCCTGCTTTTAGGAATTGTTCATGAAAGCATCGATGGGTGGAGAGCTATCAATGTCTGTAACTCTCAGACGGTTCAGAAAAAAACGTGTGTGTAGATATATCTTGTCAGAGGATGGCCACGCAAACGTGGTACAAATGTCAGCTTTTGGCAACCTGGGTGAAGGATGTATAAGCGTTCTTTGTATTACTTTTGCAACTCTCTGTAAAAAATTACAGCATAATACAAAGTTAAAAGAACAATCCCAGACACAAAGGTTCCCCTACGTCGCATACATACCCAGGTTTTCAATGGTGTAATAGCGCTGTTTATAGTCCACCTTGATGGTCTGAGCGTGAGGGCTGCCAATCCCATAACCAATGGCGTAGCCTCTGACGACGATGTTCTGATTCTCTGGGGGCGTCCAGCTGACCACGATGCTTGTGACAAGTGGGCGCACGTGGAGAGAACTAGGCACTTCAGGAACACGGGTTTCTGGGAGGGAAGACGGACAAGCATAATGAGCCCTACCCTTACCTTCTTTTAGGACAACCTTGCCATGCCTGGGAATATGAGCCCTACCCCTACACCTGCCTTTAGGTCAGTGGTTCTCAACTTTCCTCATGCCACGACCCTTTCACACAGTTTCTCATGCTGTGGTGACCCCCCCAACCATAAAATTATTTTCGTTGCTACTTCATAAGTATAATTTTGCTACTGTTATAAATCGTAATGTAAATGTCTGATATGCAGGATGTATTTTCATTGTTACAAAGTGAACATAATTAAAGCACAGTGATTAATCACAAAACAATATGTAATTATATATTGTGAAATATTAATGGGTTTTCCGATGGTCCTAGGCGGCGACCCCTGTGAAAGGGTCGTTCGACCTCCAAAGGGGTCGAGACCCACAGGTTGAGAACCGCTGCTTTAGGATAACTCAGCATGCTTGGGAATATGAGCCCTGACCCTACCTTCCTTTAGGATAACCTCGCCACGCCTGGAAATGGCGCGCAGCCTCTGAAAAACCATGTGGGGCCGAGTTTCCCTATTGTTCCAAGAGTTGCAAGGTAACCTGCAGGTACAGTGAGAAATACTACGGCCCCGTGGTTTTACTGCGTTCCAGGGCGAAAACAAAACCCAACCAGCCTCATGACGATCGCGGAGGCTGACCCGGCGGTGAAATGCTAGAAGGTGCTACAGTATTCATTTGGAAATGGAAGAAAGAGCGATCCAAACACATCTGCTCCATGGAGAAAAACAAAGCAATTGGCTTTTCAAGAGCTGCCAATCCTTGAGGCCACACCCTGTTCCAACCCGGCCGAACGAGAGGCAGCAACACGGAGGAAGCAGGGCCTGTGATCGACAGGTGGTCAAGCGTCCCATTCATTACAGCCACGGTCATCAATTGTTTACCCCCACCCTCACCCCAAAGGAACATGGTAGGGTCAGAAAATATGAAACACAAATGGATTCAAGTGGCCAGACTAAGAGGCTCACAAAGGTGGCAATTTACAGTATCTTTCACATTCATGATTTCCAGGCATAAATTACTACCTTCATTTTGAAAACGAGTAAACAGAAACGTAAGAATTAAAACCCAGGTCCTTTGTCTCCCAGGCCCAACACCTGCCACTGACACAGGTGCTGTGTGGACATGGAGCCACCTGCCTAACCGATGGGCGTCCAGGGAAAAGGCAACTGCCACCAAAACAATGCCATCGCTTAAGTGCCTCGTCTTCTCAATGCCCGTGGTTAAAAATACAAACACAAGAAGAAAAGGAACCCCGAGCACCTGCCCATTTGTCATTTGTTTTGGTCCCACTGAAAGGGACCTTGTCCTTTAAAGTCACTCGAAAAAACATATAGCCGTTTCGGGAGCCCTGCTGCACTGGGCACGGCAGCTCCATGGTACCCTCACGGTAAGTCATCTGCACCCCAAAGCCTGTGGCATTCCCACGTGACTCATCTGACAGGCTTAGTCCCCAGAACCAGTTCGTCCGGCTGGGCGGTTCCTACCATCCAGGTCACTTTCAAACGTTTCAGCAGCCAGCCAGTCTGTAGCGGGGCCCGTGCCATTGACGGTCAGAGCAGCCACTCGGAAATGATATTCAGTCCCTCGGTCGAGACCTGAGAGCCAGACGAGAAAAGAGACAAGCTGAATATAACGGCTCTGGGGAAAACAAAAGGTTAATAAGTGCTCATGAAAGCCAATCTGTCATCCACCGACTCAGCAAGCCCTGGGCATGCTACTTGACAGGGATCATGTAAAGCTATCATCTTGCTAATCTTATCTTCAGTTAAAGTCAGTACAGAAGCTGCAAAACACAAACACAACGTGGTGTGACTCCAGCTCCTACCTCCAAAGCAGAGGCAGAAGCTCACCCATCCCAAGAGGAGAAATGGAAATGAGTAACATTTCTAGACCATTTTAGACCCCCTTTTAAGGTGCTGAGGCACCTGGGCAATGGCTTAGTCTAATCCCTTCATTTTCATTACTAAAGAATCTAAGGCCCCAAAGGGGCCAACCGTGATGAAAAATTACAACCAAGGAAAGTATCAGCCAATCTCAGAAGACGCTAACATCCAGAAGAAACGACAAGATATAGTTCCTTCTACCTAGTGATCTCTCTGAGCCAGCCCATCCCCACGACAGAGAAATTTAAATACAAAATACAAAGGTGCTTCAAAAAAGTTCATGGGAAAATGGAATGAAAAGATATCTGGAATTTTTGGAGCACCCTCATGTGGTCTAGGGATCTGCTTCACAGCAATCTAATAACATCCAGTATAAGAGGTAAACAGATGTTTCTACAGCGTAGCCTTTTGTATTTAATACCAGCACACGATTTATCCATGTGTTGAAGGCAATGAAAATCCAGATATAACAGTCTATCCTTCAAAGCACGGCCATTATCAATAATAATATAGTCAATTATTAATCCATACATTTTCCAGACTACTTACACACTGGATGAGGAGCCCTGGTGGTAAAGTTGTTATGCGTTGCGCTGCTAACTTTAAGGTTGAAATCACTAGACAGCTCTGAGGGAGAAACACTGGGATTTCTACTCCAGTAAACAGGTACCGTCTCGAAAACTCACAAGGGGCAGTCCACCTTGTCCTACAGGGGCTCCGTGAGTCAGAACTGACTCAAAAGAAGTGAGCTTTGTGTTTTTTAATAACACAGCAGATATTGCAAGGCTTTATAAAATGACCATATCACCCCACATCCAAATCTTAGGCCAGCAGCAAAGCACTGAAACTTCATTCAAAGAACTTAGCTAGGCTTCTTGCAGCATCTCGGCTTGGTTACTCAGTGCTGTCTTGTGGTGCAGGTGTGTTCTCTGCAGGCCCACATGAAAGCTGTTCACTCACAAGGCAAGGAATAAGAAAGATGGAGGGGCACATTGGCTGGGCCCCGACTCAGTTACTTCCTGGTCTCCCACCCCGTCATACACAGAACCAGAAAGTGCTGGAGTGAGCTGCACATGTGTTCACGCCTGCTTACAGAGCAAACAGAGCTCAATCAAGGTTTGTAAAAAATAAAACCAACTGGATTGTCCTCCCCACTCCCTCTTTAGTGGAGAGGTTAGACTGAAAGGCTGAGAATGAGAATGAGCAAGTGATCGAGAGACACTATGCGGGAGCTTCGGGAAGTTCCTGGAAAAAACAAAACCAAAACAAACCAACTCAATTATGACCTTGTGAAGTCCCCTTGTCTGTGTAGATAGGCTCCTCTCTAAGTAACCCACGGAGTTTAGAGTTGATAGTAGAAAGTGGTACATTTTCTTCCAGCTAAAAGTTAATTCATTTAATCCATTGTCCAGTATAAAAAAAACCAAACTCAAGGCCGGTCCCAATCCCAACTATGTGGACAGCCACCCTTCCCCCCAGAAGAATTTACTTGAGGACAGCACTGATGCTACAGCTCGGTGCGAGGGGCATGTCTGATCAGAGCACAGGGGAGCAAATGAAGGGGGAGAAAGAGAGAGTGGAGCACATCTTGGCCCACCAAGCCTGGAGGACGATATCCCTGCTCAGAGCAGTCAATGCACAGAGAGGACCATATGGCCGGCCCCACGATGAGACACGACATCCCTCACTGACCCATAGCCCTACAGGGGACAACACTGGAGACACAGTGTGGGAATTGCGCCCGATCTGACCCCACCACACCAAGGAAAACACTAAGGGCGTGCAACAGAACAGCAAGGGGAGCAGGTTGAGGAAGTCCCGAGGGAGTACCAAAAATAGACTTTGGGGCCAGGGCGTGGCGCTCCATCAGACTCGATCGGAAAATACTCCTAAAGGTCAACAGACCGACCTTGAACGAAAAAACAAACAACCAAACTCACTGCCATTGAGTCGATTCCAACTCACAGGGATCCTCAAGGAGAGGGTGCGTTTCCAAGACTGTTTATGGACCATTTATGAGAATAGAAAGCCTCAATTTGCTTCCTTGGTTTCAAACTGCTGACTTTGTGGTTAGCAGCTCAACATGTAACCACTACGCCACCAGAGTTCCACCTGTTTCAGTATAGGTTCATGGCAATTCATATTTTTCCCTTAACATTTACCAAGCTTTGAGTTAATGCTTCAAGAGGGCAAGGGCCCCACTTTTTAACCCACCACTGTACCCTAGTGTCAGCAGTTGGTAACCAAGGCTCCAGAAATGCCTGTTAAACAAATGAACCCAGAGATGAATTTACAATCCAAGAAGTTCCTTGGCAGAGGACCTAATGTCGGGGGTTTAAATGGAGAGAAAATGTTTTGAGAAACGATGTACAAATGCGCTTTACACAATTGATGTGTGTATGGATTGGGATAACAGTTGTATGAGCCCCTAATAAAATGTTAAAAAAGAAAAGAAAAAAAAAGTTCCTTGGCAAACCGAGAGGTGTCTTTACTAGAGGGTATCATTTTGCTTACATACCGAATGTTTTACTGAGAAAATAAAGTTCCTTCTCACGGGAAAGGACGGCACTTTATTTTATGTTATTAGCACCAAGGCAGTGCCTGTGTACAAAAAAATGTCTATCGTTAAATGCCCAAAAGAAACGCCCCATAGATGGGAGACACGATTTCTGCTATGAGAATAAAATCAGAGACTTTAGAGCATATCCTTGACCTATTTTGATGCCACCGTAGTGAGATTCCTGGTGCTACCCTGCTGCGGCTCTGTGTACTCCCTGCAGTGTCCACTCCCTGTGGACACTAGAAGACTCTTGGGGAGCCGAACGTCCACCTTCCCCCTTTCTGAAAGAAGTCACTCCGTTCTGTGAGGTGAGCAGTAAGGAGAACCGCTGGCTTACTCCAGCACTGACTCCGACTGTGGGTGGTTCGGCTGCACAGTTAAAAACTTGTATAGATGGGAATGAGCCACTTTTGAACCCCACATCTTGGTTCTATGAATAAGCTGTTCCTCGGGGGCACAAGAAAGTGGGTAGTGCCAAGCTTCTGGAAGCCATTCATTTCACTGTCTACCCAGGAGGAATATAAGGTAAGAACAGTTAGAATTCTTAAAGGGTGATGCCATTAATTTTCAGGGTTTAGACAACAGTGAAGGCAACCTTCATTTCTTGTGCTTCCACCCACTCTGCTTTGGGCTTTCCTAGCGAAAACAAGTAGCATTGGAGCTGTCTGTCTCAGGGTTCATCCTGCCCTGCTACTGCGCACTGACCGTCCACCTCAGTTGGATACAAACATCCTAGGTGCAAATCCACTGCTTGCTCATGAAGCACGGTGAGTTCTGTTGAGTTACAAAGGAAGGCGATGCAACGTACCAGCAGGGCACAGCCCAGTCACTTGACTCCTGGGCCCGGACCGGGAGCTGAAACAGGCAAACCCATTCAAGTACCTTTTCATTCCATGTTTCCATGAACTCTCTGAGGCCCCTTTGTATGTATCTGACAATGACAGAGATGAGGCATTGCTGACCTACAGGGGGACTGGGTAGGCCGGGCTCTGCTCGGGTCACAGCCTGTTCTGCAGCTGCACCACACATCCAAGTAAACTTCTGCAGGGTAAGGACAGCTTAGGGGCATCTGTCTTGATTCTCCCTAAGCTTGGTTTTGCCCTCCACGGAGAGAGAAAGCACCCAGTCTCCCTCTTCCTGCAAAAGACCCTTGCCCTGGCATAGTCAACCCCCCCTGCTTGCAGAATAAGGAATGGAATTCTCAATGCGCTGCAGGGAAACCCATATGCATTGGGACTCAGGTGGGCCGCTTGCTCTGCTGCACACACAAGGCAAGCCGTACAGAAGGAGCTATCGCTGACAGACTTTTCTAACACGTTACAGCGTCCCTCGTGGCCAGTATAATTACTGCATCGTTGTACCTTTTCACAAAGACTGCTTCAGGCCCATGAGCGCATGAATGATGTCATGTTATAAAAATCACTTTGTAGACCTCTCTTACTAGCTAGCTTAAGGGGAGTAATTTTTTGTTGTTGTTGCTTATATTGCTTTGGTTCATTTCTTTTCAGATTACAAAAAGGAACTATATATTAAGAAAAAAAGAAAATTCATAAACTACAGAAAATCGCCAAGAAACACAGTCAAACACAATCTCACCCATCAGACGTGGTTTCCAGTACTATGAACTGGGTCAGAAACAGACCGAGCCACTTAAAAGCTTACTGCACACACTCCCACTTAAACAGGTCAACAGCTCACAGCAGTCATTAAAATAGTATAAATCCGTGCTAGCTTTTGCCAAGAGGCAAAGCCGCTTACCTTCAATCAGCTGAGATAGCTGCATCCCGGTGACCAGGGTTTCGGTGACATCACTCTTCCGGGAGGCCTTCCGGTAGCGGATCTTGTAGCCTGTAATCTGCCCATTCTGTGTGGCTGGAGGCGGCGGCTGCCAATGAATCATAACACTCTGGGAGGAACAAGAGTATGAGGAGCCTGAGTATTGTAACACTCTAGGAGCGACAAGAGCGTGAGGAGAAAACGGAGTATCCCCAGAAGCTAGGCCCAGACTGCTTTCCTACATTACTTCCCTGTCTTCAGTGCCAGAGCCTGTTTTGCACAGTAATCGTGATACTCCTGCATTATTGCCCTGTCTTCACTGCATTAACAGAAGAGAAAAACGGCAGC